AAGACGGAATGACACAGTTGCTGCAACAATGGGCTCAAACATAGCAACGATTGTGAGGATGGTGCAGGACTGGGTAGTGTTTCGTTTTGTTGTACAGAGGGTCACTATGAGTTGGAACTGGCTCAACTGCACCTAACAATAACAGCAATCTTTGGTTGAAAGGTTAACTTCAAGAGTGGCTTCAGTTTTGAGTTAGCAGGGTTTCCGGGGGCCATAGTCTCAGGGGTTCCTCCAGTCTCTGTCAGAGTATTAACTCTGGTCTTTTTTTGTAAATTTGAATTTTGTTCTACATTTTTCTCCCCCTATGTCTAGGACCCTCTATTGTGATCCCTGTCAGGGTGGTCAGTGTATTAGCCAGGCACCATCTAGTTCTTCTGGGCTCACGGTGGTGAAGGCTGTGGCTTATGTGGGCCATTATTCCTTTGGACTAATATTTTCCTTGTGTCTTTGGTTTTCTTCATTCTCCTTTGCTCCAGACATGATGAGACCAATAGATGTATCTTAGATGGCCACTCTCAACCTTTCAAGACCTCAGATGCTACTCACCAAAGTAGGATGTAGAACATTTTCTTTATGAACTATGTTATGCCAATTGATTTAGATGTCCCCTGAACCACGGTCCCCAGCCCTCAGCCCCAGTAACTTGATACCTCGAGGTGTTTGGATGTGTCTAGGAAGCTTCTATGAGTTTGCCTTGGTCCAGTTGTGCTGACTTCCTCTAGGATTTATTGTGTGTTGTCTTTCTTTTCACCAGAGTTACCACTTGTCTACTGTGTAGTTAGTGATTTCCTCTCCCCACATCTACCCTTTCATGTAACCATCAAAGATTGTTTTCTTCTGTGTGTAAACCTTTTCTTGGGCTTTTATAATAGTGGTCTCATACAATATTTGTTCTTTTGTGATGGACTTATTTCACTCAGCATAATGCCACCCAGGTTCAGCCATGTTGTGAGATGTTTCGCAGATTCATCATTGTTCTTTATCGTTGCGTAGTATTCCGTTGTGTTTATATACCATAGTTTGTTTCTCCATTCATCTATTGATGGGCACTTAGGTTGTTTCCATCTTTTTGCTATTGTGAATAATGCTGCAATGAACATGGGTCTGCATATGTCTATTAGTGTGAAGGCTCTTACTTCTCTAGCATATATTCCTATGAGTGGGATTTGTGGATCATATGATATTTCTATTTCTAGCTTTTTAAGGAGGTGTCATATTGTTTTCGAAAGTGGTTGTACCATTTTACGTTCCCACCAGCTGTGTATAAAAGTTCCAATCTCTTTGCTACCTCTCCAACATTTGTTATTTCCTTTTTTTTTTTTTTTTGATTAGTGCCAGTAATGTCGGGGTTAGATGGTATCTCACTGTAGTTTTGATTTTCATTTCTCTAATAGCTAATGATCGCGAGCATTACCTCATGTCTGTGAGCTGCCTGAAAGTCTTCTTTGGTGAAGTGTCTGTTCATATCCTTTGCCCATTTTTTAATTGGATTATCTGTCTTTTAGTTGTTGGGGTGTTGAAGTATTTTATAGAATTTTGGAAATTAGATGCTCATTGGCTATATCATAGCCAATTTTTCCCCCCAGTCTGTAGGTTCTCTTTTTAGTCTTTTGTGAAGTCTTTTTATGAGCATTGAGTGTTTAATTTTAGGAGTTCCCAGTTATCTATTTATCTTCTGATGTTTGTGTGTTAGTTATGATTTATAGTATTTATGCCAAGTATTAGGGTCCCTAGAATTGTCCCTATTTTTTCTTCCATGATCTTTATCCTTTTAGGTTTTATGTTTTGGTCTCTGATCCATTTTGAGTTAGTTTTTGTGTATGGCATGAAATATGGGCCTGTTTCATTTTTTTTACAGATGGAAATGCAGTTTTGTCAGCACCATTTGTTAAAAAGACTGTCTTTTCCACATTTAATGGACTTTGGTCTTTTGTCAAAGATCAGCTGATCATAGGCATATGGATTCACATCTAGGTTCTCTCTGT